ATAGTGTTGGTCACAATACAGTGTGAATTAATGTTGTTATTCTTTCTAGACTGGAATAAGCGTATTGAGTACAAGCCTGGTTCTGGGAGTATACCATTATTTCCTAGCATCCACCTGGAGACTTGTGATGGACCTGTTTCTTCTATTCAGACCACCATTGAATTGCAGACTAACTACATTGGAAAGGGCTGTGATCGTGAGACATACTCTGAAAAATCCCTGCAAAAATTATGCGGTATACCTTTAGCATTTTCATGAATTTACTTGGCATTGCTATTTTGAACATTTTGATATTTACACAGGAGTTGCTTTCCAGGTCATTGAGCACACATTAGCCAGCTCTGCCCTCTTATGACTCCTTTTCCTGTCACTTCCGGGTCACTGTGATGTGTGCATGTGTGGTTGTGCAACAATTGGACAAGCGCAAATCAGTTGTTGCCTGTGTTATAGACTCCCTGATATGTATACTTATGGGCTCAAAAGTGCAAGCTTGGCATTATCTCTAAGTTGAAGCAGGCAGAGTCAGAATAACTCCTGCTTTCTCTATCTCCACTTCTGCTTTAACATGCACTAAGATCTTCATCTCCAAATGTCAATTGAGGCTAAGGGATTCCTCTGCAAATAGCCCAAGGAGAAGTAACAGGCTGCTAGCTGTTACGCTATGCAACCTCTATGCAAGCAGGAAATGCAGAATTGTGTCCCTTGTTTCTCTCTCCCACTTCATTACTTTAGCAGCTCATATATTTATATCAGTGAACTTGGTGAAAGGCAGTAATAAACCTCTGAACCCCTCTTTTTACAAAATCTGAAAAACTAAATAAGTTATTCTAGCCTGATGATCCTGCTTAATTTGCATTTTGCCAAATGTGCAAGCGTTAATAAAAGTGAAAGCAACTTCTCACAGAGTAATATTTAGGACAAATCAACATTAAACACCTACCCACACACATACAGAGAGAGAGAGAGAGAGAGAGAGAGAGAGAGAGAGAGAGAGAGAGTTTGGTGATGTGCACAGTATTGCTTATTCCACTTGAAGAAATAAAATTCCTTTTGGAAAAAAAATTGTTTTCGCTGGGTAGAACTCTAGGCAATTTTGCAATGTTTATTATAGATTATGCCATCTGGGTAAGCTGAGCTTGAAGCTTTCCAGTAGGTAACATCTGTGTATTAGGGAGCACAAGCTGGTATATTACGCACAGTTAGCGCTTATAAAATAAATGCTGTCTTTGTACACGCTTAAAAATGTATGTAGTCTTATTTGTTGATGCTGTTAATTGAAATGACATGCAAATGAGGGAATTAAGTTCATTAAAAATTTACCCAACCTTTAAATATAAACCTAGGGTGGAAAACCTTCCAGAAAATTCAGTGGAGCGCTTGTTTTGCATGTAGACGCTCCTAGATCCAATCTCTGGTGTCTCCAGGTGGGGCTAGGAAAGATTCCTGCCTGGAAAGCCACTGCCAGTCAACCCTGACATTACAAAGCTAAATTGCCTGACTTGGCATACGGCAGCTTCCTAATATTTCAGAACAGTGATACAGTTCTACAGCTCCTTCAATTAATTCTTTAGATATGCATTTTGGATGCTAACATCTCACACTTGGGACCCTGGCAGCAAAGCTGAGAAGGGGGTCTTGCCATCTGGGCAAACCTGGACCTCCATACACACTGCCTGGGCTTGTGCCCTGGAGAGGTCACTTCATTGCTGCTAATGCAGTGGTTTGATTTCACCCCTGGAGGCGCACTCCATTGTCTCCCGACAGATGGATGCCAACAGCCAATCTGAATCTCATTCTAAGCCATAGTTAAACAACTTCTACTACTTCTTCTTCTTCTTCTTCTTCTTCTTCTTCTTCTCCTCCTCCTCCTCCTCCTCCTCCTCCTCCTCCTCCTCTTCCTCTCCCTTCACCACAAGGTCCTGGTCAGGTCACAACAATTTAAAATTAAACATTTAAAACAAATTACAATCAGAATAATAGAATGGGTTCTAAACTATTGTTTAAATGTAAACATGGCGTATGCTAATGCACACTGCGGAAATTGTGGGTGCTTCACTCCCCTTCTGCTGCTGCCACGCTGCTGGGGAACAAGTCATAGTCTGGCTTAGCGTTATGTCCAAACCCCAAAATAAGTCACAGGTGGTAAGCAAGGAACAAACCTTGGTTTTAGCACTCATTGGCTTTTTATGAGGGGATGAGAATGCAAAATGATGCAGAAATGTGGCAGACTGAATTTAAGATTGGAGTAAAGTGAGAAACTGATGGAAGTCAGTCTCTAAAGATGCAAAGGGCATCAATTCCTGGCCAGAGATTAAGGAATTTGTAGTTTGAAAACCTATATTTCCCCATGTAATTGAAGCATCATTGCCACCTGTAATCCCCTTCCCTGAAGCAAGGGTCTTTTGTTTACATTTTGGGGGGAAGCCAGAAGGGGCTAGCAGGGAAGAATATGAATTCCATTTCAAGCTGGACCCAGTAGGAAAAGTTTGCATTTGAATTATTTAGTTAAAATCTGACACCATTAATATAAAAAACATTAACACCTGCACAGTATTCAGCTGGTACGTTGACTATTCTATGTTTGCACATAAGATATATCTGTGAGTTCCACAGTTGGCTTGCTTTTGAAATATGTGAAAATAAACCGTTAGTCAGATAATGTTGCATGGCGGCAAACAATTAACCCTGAGGAATACTGCTTTTCCATTATAAACACAACTACACAAACCAATTGCTACTGGTTAAATATTCTATGCTTGCCACTGCAAGTCTTCAAACACTAGAAATAATTATTTTGAAGAAATACTGGGCAACCAGTAAACATTTTGTGGTTCATTTGCTTTTTCATTCAGTGAAGGTATAGTTAATGAGAAGTGAGGAAAGAACTCTAAAGAATAGCAGCACGTCTGCCCAGGCCCATCACAGCTCATATAACTGTAAGCATCCTTTTCCACAACAGTAATCTTAGCCCTGGATATATTTGCTTCAGGGCTCCATACATAGCACAGTATGAATATGCTTGTATTCCATGAGTACCTTTGTTCACCTCCACACATTGGTACTTCCAGCTGAACTCTGTCTCAGTTATTCCCAACCGCACTAGTGGGCGATTGTTAATAAGATGTATCCACACTGCGTGGTGTTGTCCTCTCCCCTCAGGGAGAGAAAAGTTCTGAAGGGCTTCATGCATGGTCACTGTTCTCTAAACTGGCAAAAGAGTGATGGCCTGCATATTAAGAGGCTGAACACCTTGATGACAGGGCAGAAGTCCTCTTTACGCATTTGTCCCTAGTATATGTGAACTTAACATATGAAGCTGCATTGTAAGGAGTCTAACTATTGGTCCATGTAGCTCACTGTTATGCACCCTTGACAGACCATGGGTTTCCAGGATCTCTTCTGATCCTGCTGCTGCTGAGATCCTTTGAAGTGACCATAACAGGGCATGAGCCTTGGATTTTCTGCAAGCAAAGGAAGAATCACTGCTAATCAATAGCGGGGGTGGGGAAAACCTGTGGCTCCCCAGATGTTGTTGGACTCCCAACTCCCATCAGTCCCATCCAGCATGGCAAATGGTCAGGAATTATGGGAGCAGTGGCCCAGCAACATCTGAAAGGCTATAGGTTCCCCATCTCTGCTCAATAGTCTAGTAGCATGGACACATTTATGTTTATTTTATGTTTGGGTGTTTTTTCAGCACTTGAAAACAAAGGCAGCATTAGCAATAAATGAGAGGGATTAAGTGTGTCAGAGTGTCTCCTACAGTGAATTCAGCTGAACAGCTTTCTCATTAGTGTCTCATCAGACTGTTCATTATATATCATCTGCAGGGGCGTCATCAGGTGCCATTGACTTGTTACCAACTCCCAGTGCAGCAACTAACTGGACAGCTGGTCTTCTGATAGACAGCAATGACATGATTTTTAAATTTGAAGGGAAACAAGGAGCCAAAATCCCTGATGGAATAGTACCAAAGAATCTAACAGATCAGTTTACCATCACCATGTGGATGAAACATGGCCCAAGTCCAGGATTAAGAGCAGAGAAAGAAACTATTCTGTGCAATTCAGATAAGACAGGTGAGTCAGCTTTATTTAAAACTGCATTTTCTTCACCCTTCTCCATTGCTTGACATGCTGAATAGAGGTGCATATTGAAAAATGTTTTACATTCAGTCGTGAAAGTTGGCCTCAGGGTACTTCTGATATTGAAAAAGTGGACTTTAGAATAAGACAGGTAAAGTGAAAACACACTCTGATTTCAGTAAATAATACAACCTAGCTAAATAATAAAAACCGTGAAAGTTTTTATCCTATTAATATATCTTTCTTTTAGAAATGAATCGGCACCACTATGCACTATATGTGCACAATTGTCGCCTTGTGTTCCTGTTGCGGAAAGATTTTGACCAAGCGGATACCTTTCGACCTGCGGAATTCCACTGGAAGCTCGACCAGGTACTTAGTTTATTTTTTATTATGGTAATTCCTAAATTTCATTCAGTCACTGTAGTGGATTGAGTGAAGAACCGCTAATAGACACAAAAACTTAACTATTATTTGAGTACAGAAAATTTCTGTTGCACGTACAATCTTGCCACTGTTATCCACACCAAGTAGAGAGAGTTATTGCTGACATCCAAGCTAGATTACAGCAACATATTTTATGTGGGATTGGCCTTGAAGAACATCTGGAAACGACGACTAGTAACAATCCTTCATACAGCAAAGTGATAGATTTTCTGACTTCTGCTCTTGTTGCTGCTGATATTGATGGACACAAAGCAATGAAAAAGGAAGGAAAGGGATAAGGCAGAGAAGGCTTTGGACCAGGTATATAGAATAGACATACAAAAAGGAACTGAATCAATATTGGGGCTAACTGACATGGGGCAGGATCTAGATCCACAGCTTTCTTACACCTTCCCCATCTCTCTCTCCTTATGGCCAATTGGTTAGAACACTGTTTGAAAGATAGAAAGCTGGATTTTTTGAGAAAGGCCTGTGTGTGTGTGTGTGTGTGTGTGTGTGTGTGTCTGTGAGACACACACACACACACACACACACGGGCAGGAGGGAGGGTTAATCAGGCCCTAATAGGCTCTTCTGTCGCTATGGGCAGCCCCACAGTTGGCTGATAGATTTTCAGACTGATTGCCTCCTGACTGCCACTGAATTTCATAGGACAGATTAACACTGAGGAAAGTGACATTAAGTGACAGTCCTAAATTGTACTTGTGGATATTAATAAACAAAGTAGCTTTATCCTAAAACAATATAGCAAAACAAATTACACACTAAAGCAAATTTTATGTGTGAAAGAGAACAATCCAAGGGCCCAGGCAGTTCTTCCATCATACATTTGCTCCCCCTGCCCATAAAGAAGGAGACATCTTGCCTCTGCAAGAGCAGAAAATGCATCCTCTCTCCCTCGACAGCTTGGAGAGAAACACACAGTGAAAAAACAGGAAACCAGTGTACGTCACATCCAGTCTCCCTTTCCCGTGAGAAACTCCAACAGTACAGACTGTGGAATGTAAACACCTGTCTCGTGACAGCAGTTGCTGCACAGTGAAGGAAAGCAGAAACCAACATCCTCCCCCTTTCTGTGAACATCACTGGGCAGCGTGTTTGTACAATATCAGTACAAACCCAACTTCTGCACATAGGTACAGTGTTGATCCCTTGATACAATCTTGGACAATACATCAGCAGGAATTTCATTACCTGGCATATAGGACACCGTTACGAGTCCCTTCTGAATACATTCCCTAGCATGCTGCAATTTTAATTGCAAGTGCTTTGTGCTTTGCTTACAACCTTCAGACTTCAGCAAAGCCAAACATGCTTTGTTGTCCTGGTAAACCTGGATTGGACATTTGACAGGAATTTTCATATCTTTGCACAATTGTACTAACCATTCACAATCCTTAAGTGAATAAGACAGTGCATTCAGTTCGGCTTCACAAGTACTTAAGCTAACTGTTGTTTGCTTCTTGCATGACCAATCAAACAGACTCTGATTGTACATGTAGCAAACTCCAGACGTACTTTTCCTGTCTGTAGCGTCACTTCCAAAACTTGCATCTGCAAATATCTCAAGACCACCAGACTTCTGATTGTTAAATCTCAGTCTGTAATGCATAGTGCCTTTCAAATACCGCGCTATGCGTTTCAGAGCTTCCAATCCTTGACACTAGGATTGTTGACTTGTCTGCTTAGCAAATTACAGCTAACAGCAATGTCTGGTCTTGAACATCTGGCAATGAAGTTTAGCTTACCTAGCACACTCCTGTACAGTGTAGTGTCAGAAAATGCTTCTTCAGTGTCATCTACCTGATAACCTGTTGTCATCGGTGTGTCTACAGGGTTAGCATCCATCAGATTTAGTTTGCTTAACACATCAGCAATTTTCCGTGACTGGTGTACTAGAATGTTACCATCCTGATCTCTCTCATTTCCAGAGATAGGTAGTTGTTTACCTCACCAAGATCTTTCATGTCAAAGTGCTCTTTCAGTTGAGCTAGGGCGCTATTGTACATTGCAACATCTTTCCAAAAGAATAATAAATCATCAACATAAAACAAACAGTACAGTTTCTTTTGCCCCTCCTCTTTGACAAATACACATGGATCAGCTTTCCCTTGCTGAAAACCTAGAGAAAACAATACTTCAGTGAGTTTTGTGTGCCAACACCGTGCACTTTGTTTGAGACCATAAAGGGATTTCTTCAGAGCACAAACAAATCCCTGTTTTACCTGTACGCCATCAGGTGGAAGCATATAAAGTGATTCATCTAGAGATCCGTACAGAAAAGCTGTATTAATATCATGGTGACTAATGTGTAGATTTTCCTCTGCAGCTAGCTTGAGCATAAGCCTAATGCTTTCATATCTCACTGTGGGTGAATAGGTCTCGTGATAGTCTTCACCTGGTACCTGTGCAAAACCTCTGGCTACCAATCTGGCTTTGTGTCTGACTATCTTGCCATTTTGATCTGTCTTCGCTTTGAAGACCCATTTGCTTCCAAGCAGTTTCATTCCTGGAACTACTGGAACTAGCTCCCATGTTTTGTTCCTTTCTAAGGAATCAAGCTCAGCCTTCATGGCATTTAACCATGGCTCAGCTTCCTTTGAATCCAAACCCTGGATTTCTTGGAAACTTGAAGGTTCAAATACCTTCTTGGAGCTTTTAACAGCTGTTACTGCTATCTTAGCAAACTCATCAGCAAATCTCTTTGGAGGTTTGCTTTTGGTGGCTCTCTGTGACCTACGAATTAGCCTTAAGTCTTCAACACTCTCCTCTTCCTTCTTAGGAGAAAAACGACCTATTGTGAACAATGGTTCCTCCAATTCTTGATCAGAGCTTTCAGAGGGTCGCATAGAGGCTTTCGCACTCTTGAAATCCTCTGAATCACCCGATTCAGTTTCAGATTCAGACTCAGAACCTTCATCAGTGGGTGTGGGCTGTTGTGGTTGCTTTTGACTATCCTCAGTCTCATCACCGTCATCAGGATAACATTGGAAAATTCCCACATTCTCCCCACACTTTGCATTGTACTCAACACTTCTCGTGAGCTTAATTGTCTTAGAGTCAGTCATCATTATTCTGTAAGACCCTTTCTGATAACCTAGAAAGATACCATGCAATCCACGCTTGTCTAACTTGGAGTTTTGTGGTGAGCGAACCCACATGTCAGAACCAAAATCTTCATGTGTTTGATGTATGGCTTCTTGCCAAACATCTTCTCATAGGGGGTACATCCAATCGCTGAAGATAATCTGCGATTGTAACTGTAAACAAAACACGAGAGAGATTCGGCCCAATAACTCTCTGGAAGATTGGCATCATGCAGCAAGGTCTTTAACCCTTGAAGCAATGTCTGATTTGCCTGCTCCGCAAGTCCATTCTGCCATGGCGAGCGAGGACTAGACAAATCGTGTTGAATTCCTTTCTCAGTCAGAAAAGCTTCAAACTGCTGAGAAGTGAATTCCCCCGCGATCACTGAAAAGAGTCTTTATCTTCTTACCATGCACATTTTCCAACCAAGCACAGAATTCCTTGAACCTAGGAAAAGCCTCCGATTTCTGCTTGAGATTGTACACAAAAATATATCTAGAAAATGCATCAATGAGAACCATGAAGTATCTATTTCCACCCAAAGAGGGCGCAAGTGGTCCAACCAAATCAGCATGAACAACCTGGTATGGTTCTGTAGCTTTCCTACTAGACACCTTACCTTTCGCAGCCATTTTCACCTTGTTTGCTGCGCATGCTTTGCACTTCATGTGGTACCTGCAGGGTTTAATAGTCATACCTTCAACCAAGGCAGGCATTTTAGATACTGCCTCAAAATGCAAATGACCAAATTTTCGATGAAAATCGTGAATACATTCTGCATGCAAACTTTTGTTAGAACCTGCAATGCAACAAGTGTCATCCTGCACCACATCATCATAATACAAAACAAACAAATGATCAACATATTCTGCATGCAATACATAATCATTTTTCTTTGTGATGATGCACTTCTTGTTCTTGAAGGAAACGTCAATGTTCCGCTCATTCAGCTGTCCAACGCTGAGCAGATTATGTTTGGCGTCTGGCACGTAAAGCACATTCTGTATCGATAAGTCCAAACTGTGAAGAACAACAGTTCCGTAGCCTTTACTGGGAATAGTGTGGTCATCCGCCTGGTGAATCGCACCTTCCTGCGGTGTAAAAGACACAAACAGTTTCTTATCGTTGCACATGTGGTGGGTGGCCGCTGAATCAACAACGAAGAAAGATCTAGACGTCTTCTGGACCTCTGCAACCTTTGGAGTGAAGCGTGAAACCATAGCCTTGTGCTGCGTTGTCCTAGACACCGGACCTTTGCCTTTGCCTCGGCCTTTTCCGCGCGATGAGCTTCCGCTGCGCTGCTCTGTCTTGGCCCTGGGATGTCTGCATTCCCTCTTCATATGGCCTAGACGTCCACACGAGTAGCATTTCACTGCCTTCAAAGCTTTGGCGCCATCTGGTGGTTCCACTGCACTATGGGATGACGTCTGTGAAGACTCCCTTGCCCATGCAGCTAGCACCCCGGCGATCTGCTTCATTTAAAATCACGGCAGTAACAAAGTCCACTGTCAGCTGAGCAGTTGGTTGCACAGCAATCTGGGTTGCAACAGACTCCCAACCTGAACCCAAAGATTGTAGTATCATGAAAGAATACACAGCCTCTGGAAAGTTGAGTCCTCTCTGTTGCAGCTCATGTCTCAGATTTTGCATCTCCATCAGATGTAAACGCACATCTCCACCTTCAGCAAGAGCCATATTATGCAGCTTGTTAAAGTAATACATAGTGGATCCAGCTTCTGTCCTTAAGTGAGCCTCTCTCAGAGCGTCCCAAATTTCTCTGGCTGAGGTCTTATCACGCAATAGACAGAGCTCTTCTGGGGATACTATCAATGTAAGAGTTCCCTTGCTTTGGAATCCTTAGCTTCCCATGCATCTGTAACTGGAACTGGGGGTTCCTGTAATCACCTCAAACAAACCCTCTTCCGCAGAATTGCCTCTGCATACTGAACCCAGTCGCTGTAATTTTTCTTGTTGAGCTTAGGAATCCCACAAGCATCCTGAAGGGCCATCATGACTCTGGCATTAGCCTTCAGCGTCATATGCTGCTTTAAATCTTGCTGCGTCACTGCTGCAGCTGCCTCATTACAAAGGCACACTTAAAAGTTACTTCGATTTCCCCAGCATAGTGACTTGTGCCTGGGAGCCTTTTGCCTATTCCCGGCAAAACCGGCTTTAAAAGTTCAAAGTCCAGCCATAAAGCCATTAACTTGAAGCTGGCAGGCTGCCCGGAGCAGTAGCACATACCTCATCAATCACTTCTACGCGCAGAGCAGATTCCTTTCCGATCCGTCCCTCTGCATTCCGATCCTCTGCCGGCACTCCGATTCGACCTCTGGAGTCCATAACCACGTGTTGATTTAAAGCAGAGTCTGTCGTGCCCAACGGAAGGATGACGATACGTGCTACATACTCTATATTGCTTTATTTACAGTTCAAAGCTGGTATATTACAGAAAG